GGGGGGGGGTAATTGTGTGGTACCCAATTTTTGCTCTAGAAGAACCTGGTTCTTCTAGGTGTTCTAACTACTACTGTTTGCAGAATAAAAAGTACATAAAATAAAGAACCGGTAGTCCTCTTTGTGAGTGATAAGAAGATATTTATCAAAAAATAACTGAGAGAACTGATCCCAAGTAAGATCCGGCGACCCAGTTGGTCTGGACAACATATAATCTCTCCACCATTTCTTGGCAGAACCCGATAGATGAAATGCAGCAAAGTCGATCCCATTGGTCTCCACTATCCCCATGTTCCGTAAAACCTCATGACAACTGTCCAAATAGTTCTGGGGATCCTCTGAAGATGTACCGCCATGTAAACTGGGAAAAGCTTGGTAAACCTATCCAATCTCCACAAAGCCTCAAAAGACATAGTTGATCTGTCACTGGTCTATGCTACAACACCTGGTAGAACTGCCCCAACTGGCTGAGCTACTGGAGTCTGAAACTGGGGAGCTATATGCTCCAGAGTATGAGTAGCGAGAGTCTGGACTCCTCCCCCAGCCCGAGAGACAGCTGGTGCTACAGGAAATGTGCCGGTCTGAGCAACACACTCCATAAGGCCCACTAGACGGACCAAAGCATCCTGAAGCACTAAGTGGCTATGAAACCCTCTATAACCTGAGCTGGTCCGGCAGGAACAGTCTAGGCTGGAACCTCATCATCAAACTCCACCTGACGCTCCGCTACTGGTGTTGTTGCTCGAGCTCTGGGCTGAGTCCTGCCTCGTCCTCTAGCCCTGCCTCGGCCTGGACCTCTGCCCCTCCTTGGAGCTGTCACTAAGGGCTCTGGCTGCTGCTCAGCTGAAGATGCGGTGCATGTTCTCGCCATCTGCGAGAGAATAGAATAGAAGAGTTCAATTAGAATTGATAGAATAAAATCGCAAGACAGAGAAGAATAGAAGTGAAACTGTTCCTAACTCCATAGCTTCTGGAAGATTAAGTACATACGTCTTCGTACCGATCTTACAGACTCTACTAAGTTTGCTTGTGAATTGTGAGACCTAGGCAACCTAGTGCTCTGATACTAACTTGTTACGACCCAGAATTTCCACTGTCAGGACCGTGATGGCGCCTAACCTTACAGTTGCTAGGCAAGCCAACAATTAGAGATTAATATACTAACTCTTAAATAGTTTAGTAAATAACAACGATTAAACTATAACAGATTTAAAGGAGTGTAGAATTTTATAATAACCCAAGTAATTATACACAACTACTCAACATCTGGTGTCACAATTCGCGAACTTCTAATAGTCACTACAAATAACTGGCTGAAGGAAAGTACAACTATTTTCGAGTTAAAAGAAATAATAAACTTAAATAACTAGAAGGGGACTCTAGGGTCTACAAACACAGGCAGATCTACCTTGGGTCTCCTGTGGGATTGAAGTCAGCAGCTCAACTCGGGTCAACACGATCCAGTACCAAAACCTGCACAGAAAGTGTAGAGTGCAGTATTAGTACAACCAACCCCATGTACTGGTAAGTGTCGAGCCTAACATCGACGAAATAGTGACGAGGCTAGGACAAAACACATGCATAAACGTGTGCAGTTAAACAATTTACGAGCATAATAACAACTAATAGAAGCAAAACAGATAATAACGGGAGGGAAAACATGCCGAGGGGATTACGAGATAAAGAATCACAGTAGTAGTGAAATTTAAACATCTAGTACACCTTGAGCCAGTAACAACAAGTAAATATAGTAATGAAAAATACACGGCATCACCCTTCGTGCTTTTACTCTCAACCTCACCATATGAATGAAATAAGAATGACATGGCATCACCCTTCGTGCTTTTTCTCTCAACCTCACCATATGAATCAAATAAGAATGACACGGCATCACCCTTCGTGCTTTTAATACTCTTCCTCACCAAAACAAGGAACAATAATAATAGGGAGATAGAAATGACAATAACAAGTTTTATTTTAATAATTACTTCCAAAATATCAACCTCGACTTTGAGTCAATACTCAATCATTACCAAAATCCGTACATATGATAAGAACAATCAACATAACAATAAACTAGTCTAAGCATGGATAATATGATCACGGAAAGCTACAATTTTATGAAAGACTCACTAGCATGCTATAACTCAACAACAACGCATAGATACTCGTCACTTCACCTATGCATTGTAGTCAACATTCAAACATATAGTAAATAGGCAAATAAGACCTAATCCCTCAAGCCAAGGTTAACCACGACATTTACCTCGCTCCAATGGCCAAACTCAAAGCTCAATCACCGCCTTTCCCTTCACACAAGCCTCCGGACCAATAGAATCTAGCAAATTACCGACCAAACAATTTAATTTATGTCTTAGAAACTACCCACGATTGCAAAGAATTCAATTTAGGCCTTTTGAAAAAGTCAACAAAAGTAACACGCGGGCCCGCTTGGTCCAAACTCGCAATTCAGATCAAAACCCGATTACCCATTCACCCCCGAGCCCGGATATATAATTGGTTTTGGTATCCAACCTCAATTTGAGTTCTAAATCCCTAAATTTCGAAATCTCTATTTTCTACTAAAAAATCCCCAATTCCACCATGAAAATCTTAGATTCTACGTTAAAATCTTGTAAATTGAAGTGAAATATTGAAAGAAATGAGTTAAGAATCACTTACCTATAATTTGGGAAAGAAGTGGTCTTTGGAAAATCGCCTGGAGGGTTTCTTGTTTTGAAAATTTTAAGAAATGAGCAAAAATTCCGTCTAAGTTAGGTTTTACACAGCTGCAGATGTCTCAATTGCGACCTGAGCTTCACAATTGCGAAGCTCGCAAATGCGAGAAAACCATCGCGTTTGTGAGGTCTCTTACACTCCTGCTTGCTTCGCAAAAGCGAAGAAATTCTCACAATTGTGAGCTGAGCTGATCGCAAATGTGATCGAATGGTCGCAAATGCGAAATCTACCTTCCCCTTTTCCCCATCGCAAATGCGAAGGATTGTTCGCATTTGCGAACATAGGCTGACCCAGCTTCTCTTCGCATTTGCAATGAAATGCGAAGAGAAGCTTGCAAATACGAACTAAACAATGGTCGCAAATGCAAAGCTTGACCTCGCATTTGCGAGGTCTGAGGCCTGCTACAAGACTAAACAACACCAGAAATTTTCTAAGTTTCAAATCACCCTGTGGCCTATCCGAAACTCAACCGAGCCCTCGAGGCTCCAAACCAAACATGCACACAAGTCTAAAAATTCATACAAACTTGCTCGTGAGATCAAATCGCCAAAATAACAACTAGAACTATGAATTTAGCATCAAATCGAATGAAATTCTCAAGAACACTTTGAAATTTCTTTTTCTCAAGCGGACGTCCAAATCACGTCAAACCAACTCCGTTTCTCACCAAATTTTACAGACATGACTTAAATATTATATTGAACCTGTACCGGGCTCCGAAACCAAAATACGGACCCGATACCAACACGATCATACATTAACCAAATTCTTAAAACCATTAGATTTTCAGATTTTTAATTTTCATCAAAAATTGATTTCTCAAGCTTGGGACCTCAGAATTCGATTCCGGGCATATGCCCAAGTCCCATATTTCGATATAGACCCACCAGGACTGTCAAGACGCGAGTCCGGGTCCGTTTACTCAAAATGTTGACCGAAGTCAACTAAATCAACTTTTAAAGGCAAAAATTATTATTTTCATCAACTTTCAACATTAAAGATTTCCTGAAACTCGCTCGAACTGCGCACGCAAATCGAGGAGGAATAAAATGAGGTTTCAAAGATCTCGGAACCCAGAATCGAGTTCTAAAACATATGATGACTCTACAGAAGTTGAAATTGATAAAAAGTTAGTGATTTTTTTTTGTTTGGACATTAAATTCTGTAGAGGTTTATTAATAAAAATTAAAGATTTCACTTGAAATTAAATAGCATGTCCAAGCGAAGTTCGCAAATACACAAAAAATATCAAGTTGCAAAGGTGAATTTATCTTTTTCCTTTTGAAGTGAAATAGGTTGGTAAAGATTATAAGTTAAATGAGTCAAAAGAGCGAAGACGCATGCGCAAGAACAAGAGCACACGTGAGATAGCGTGCGGCAGTGAATAAAACTTTTACGTGCGCTTATATAAATTTCACCGATTGGGATGTGGTCAAACATCTCGTGGTACCAGTGGCTCGTGAGAGACTCAGCCAATGAGCTTTTAAGTCAGGGTTAAGTTGAATCTACTCCTTTTAGTGGTTGTGTTTACGGCTTGTTTGGATGGTCGTTATACGTGATATTGTATCGTATTGTTACTTTAAATATAATATTTGTTTTGATTATTACTTTAAATACAATGTTTGTTTTGATTGTTACTTAAATTTTATTATATCGTATCGTTAAATTTATCGTTACATAACGACGAAATGTGCCAATTTATGTAACGACCGATTTGGTGTGATCGCGTTGTTACCTTGTCTTTTTCTCTCAATATCACCCTTTATTATTATTAAATTATTTTATTTTATCATTTACCCTACTTTTTTATATAGTAATTTTACCTTGTATCATAATTTTTCTTTATAATATTGCAAGCTTATTCTTCACATTGTTGGTGCGTGATATCATGAAATGATGGCAAACGACACAATTTATCCAAACATTGTATTTATCAAACGATACAGTACAATACAATACAATACAATACGATACGATACATTATGAAACGATGCGTAACAACCATCCAAACAAGCTGGGGGCAAAGGGAGAGTGTTACCTACGAGTTCAGACGAATTCAGTAGTTTGTTGCTTAGATATTACTCTCTTCGGTCCACAATAAATGATCAATTTTCTTTGGGCACACCAATTAAAGAAATACTAAATTCTAGACGAAAATAATTAGTGTGACTAAACTACCCTTAATTAAATATTGCAATCATAGTTATAGTAGCACTTATTTCTCTTCTCAAATGTGAGGATTGGACCAAAAGAAAAAAGCAAATGGTCACTTGTTGTGTACCGGATGAAGCATATTTGTATTAGAAAATCTATTAAATAAGTATAAATAATTAATTGCGAACCCAATAACTAACAAACTATGAGTTCAATTGCAAATTCTGAACCCATAAACTAAATTCTGCCTCCGCTTTTGATTGTGTTTTGATTTTTTTTCTTTTGGCGAAAAGTTATACAAAAAATTTATTTATTTTTCTTGAAGAAGTTCTTTTTTTCTTAAAAAAATTATTAATTTTTTGATGATATTATTGCCAGTTGAGGTCAGGAAACATGTCAAAACTGAATGAAAAACATTGTACATAGAGTATCTTAAAAAATGGTGATAGCTACAGCGCGAACGATTGGGAAAAATTCTCACTGTTTGTCCCTTGGCACCCTGGCAAGTGGTCATCGATTGGCCGATTCTGAGAAAAAAGGGATAAAATGCTTCAGTCTTTTCTCTTCTTTTAATGATGTTTTTGCTTTTTGAGTCAATTGCAACTCTCTTTGGATGCTGAAAGATAAAAGTAAAAAAGTTGGTCATTGTTTTGCATCTCTTTTTGATCCTATATAGGCCAATCTATGTCGGATCAATCATTCTCTTCGTTCGATTGTTGGAATTTGAAATATATAGACATTACTAATAAAATGATATACTTCGTCATAATGCTAAAAAATAAAAAATAAAACCTTCTTTAAAAAAATTTGAGAATTTGGAGCTCACTGCACAGATACTGTTTGTGTTAAAGGGAAGAGAGAAGTAAAAAGGAAGTTGAACTTTAGTTTTATCCTTTTATACCTCTTCTTTAGGCAAGATCCATGAAAATAGGCAATTGGGACATCATTGGTTCTTGGAAGACTAGTGAATTGATTGCAGACAAGCTGAAAAGCAGTTAATTGTATAGTTAACACTAATGAGTGTCGCCCAATCTTCTAATCTAGTACTAAGGCAAATCCCCAAAAAGAAATGAAAGAAAATGGTTGCCATGCTAGAGCCTTTTTATTTTAATTTTGTGGTCCTGAATGGTTTTTGGGATTTTGAAGAAAAATTCACTTCAATAAAAAAACCCTGCTTTATAAATTAAGGAGGACCATTGGTCCAGCAGCAACATCATTTATTGGCTAATAGAAATGCCATACAAAGCCTAAGATCTACTAGTGCAAGGAGCCTAGAAAGACAAACCAAATCATGTTTTTTTCCCTATTTTGAACAAACATAGTAGTAATATTTTTGATTTTTCCTCTAGTGAGGGGAAAAGCAATTTCCCCACGTTTTCTTGGAAATGATTAAAGAATTTATTGAAAAAGAAGAAAGAATCAAAGCGTTGAGTACGGTAGTTAAACTGTACTTTCCGGTCCAAAATAAGTGAGTTTTTTGGTTATTTTCACATATATTAAGAAATTCATCTTTTAATATTATTTAGCAATAAAATTGACCATATTAACCTTTACTGCCTCTTCACATAAACACTTTTAACACGTACTCCAATATTAATTACTCCAAGGGCAATGTAGGAAAAAATAATTAATTCATTCTTGAAATCTGAAAAAATTATTTATTTTGGACCATAAGAAAAAAGTCAATAGATCACTTATTTTGGACCGAAGGAAGTAATAGATTTATTGTGCACAATCTTACCTTATATTTCTGCACAAAAAAAACTCAAAAGTTGCGAGATAAGATTGTACAGTATCTAGATGGTTCAATATTTTGTCCCTTTGTTGCTTGGGCAAGTCTCAAACTCTAAGAGAGTTGGACAACACAACAATGACTACATAGCTCTCTTTCTCCTTCCTCTTGTATTGGCTCAAAGCTCTTCCATTCACCTCCTGTTGCTGACGTGTCAAATGCATAAACCACTGATGTAGTCATTGATGGATTATCGACCGTCCGATAACCAGCGAAGAAATACAAACGTGTCCCAAGTGGGACCATTGTTAAGTATAGTCGATGAATTGGTTGTCCATTTTCTTCAAAGGGAAAAATATTCTTTTGTGAACCTTCAACCATATACCATATATTAAGTTTCCCATCATAAACCTCAATATGACCTTTCCATGCATTAAGGCAATCCCCAGAGCTAAATAACCTACCATTTACCTCAACTATTTGATTAGCTGGCACATCCAATTGCCACATCCCTGCCACAAGGTCCCACTGTCCCCTTGACGTGTCATACAGCTCAGCCGAACAACGATCCACGTATTGCGAAAAACCTCCACCTTGGACAAATCCACCAACCACGTGGATTTTCCCTTGCCACGTCACACCTACACATTTGCATCTTGATCTATTCATATTTGGCAATTGAGTCCATTCATCAACTAAGGGATGATAAACTTCAGATAATGAAGTACCCCTAGCACTACCTAATGTTGATTGTCCTCCAGCTACATAAATCTTATTGTCTTTAACAACATATGCAAAATTGTAACGTGGTACATTGAGTTGTGCACATTTTGACCATTGATTAAAAGTAATGTCATAACGTAACACTGATGATAGTACGTTAATATCACTATCAAAAAACTCATCGTTTTCATATTGAGCATTTTGAGTTTTTTCTTTTCGACATAGTCGACCACCTATAATGTAAATTGAGTTTGAAATTGAAACCATGGCGAAGTCCTTGAGCACATGGTTTTCGGGAAAATCGGGAATCGAAGTAACATAACTCCAAGTGTTGTTAGAAGGATCATAACATGCTATCCAGTTTGTAACAGTGACATCATTTGTTACGATAGTTGAAGAAAATGAGGCAAAAATAGAGTACCTTGATGTGGAATTTTCTGGCGATTGTGGTGCTGCTCGAGATGGGGAAGGGAAAGAAAGAGAACCCATAAGTTTGGGAAAAAAACTTATCCGCACTCGATGTTTTTAAATCAGAAGATGATAAGAGTTGTAGTAATTAATTAAGGTTGTTATATTCGAAGGATGAGATATATGTTCAACTTCATATATGTAAGATTTTCAGTGATTACGACGGATAACACAATGAAAAATTGTTTGTTAGCATTGTTAAGTATAGGTGTCCAATGTTTGCAATTGTATGTTATATCATCATGATTACTAGTTTTTAATGTTATAGAATTTATCGAAAATTTTGACTGTTTCTGATTGTTTGTTATTAATTACATGGCACAAGCCTAAGGCGGCTATCATTAATTAAGAGAATATTCTTAATAAGATCAAGTATACGAAGTCCAGGTTTTCTAGCAAATCTACAAGAAGAAAACCTTGTGCTTTAATTTACATTGGTTTTGGTTTATGTAATCATAGCATCAACAATGAGAAACATCAAACAATTGCTTCACACGTAGCCTGTTAATCTTGTCTTTCATGAACTCTTTCGTGCCATATAATATGTGCATTAATGGAATTGCATTTCTGTTTCTAAAAAAGAAATTTAAAACCATGCTTATAAGAAATAAAAGAGAGTAAAATACAGGAAAAGGGGGAATCGAAATTTTCCCATAGCAATTATGCATCACTAAAGATGGGAAAAAATTTACTACTTATTAAATTTCAAGCTAGAAGTAGATGACTGAGATGATCATGGCATGCTTGTCGTCCATTATATTTTATATATTTATGCAATAAATCACGTACTAACAATAGGAGTATTTAATTATGTGTTTACAAAATTTTATTTTTTAGCATAATTAACCCCACAAGAAAATATATTTATTTTAGGTCTGGGACTATGAACTTTGGTGTGCATCCCACTCTGAAAAAGTTAGAAAAAGGTAAAAGGGAGCAAATCCAAATGAGATACTCTCTTTTATGTGAGTACCAATAAATAAATAAATCAGACTGGAAATGGGATAAGATATAGTAGCACTATTAGAGGGTGCAAATTACATCATGTGAGAATCTAGCAACACTGTAGTTGTCGAGCCAAGCATGAATTTAATTAGTGATTATATATTATATATTATACTAACACTTTGCGATTATCAAGAAAGAACTCCTTTCTTTACTCGTACTAGGAATAATATTTTTTTCCATTCCTTTATTTAATATTCAATGAAGATCTTTTTCTTATCTTCTTTAGGCTTGCAGGCCTATTACTTTACTTATATAAACACAAGTATGTTTTCGAGGAACAGTTCATTAACAAAGATTTCAATTTAAATAAAACTTACCTAAGAAAAGAAGGGATAATATAATCTCCAAACTGGAAGAACCACAAAACAAATGCGAAATCAGAAATCAGTCTTCAAGCAAAATTTGAAACCCATGTGACAAGTTCTAAAGTTTACACAACCTCAATTTCTTCTTGTAGATTTCCATATCTCGAATAATTCGGGGGAATTTGTCACTTTTTCACGTATTTACAAATAAATAATAATTAAGGATTCGTTTGGACATAGATTTTTAAATATTTTTTGAAAAACTTGATTTGGGGTGAAGTTTGATGTGAAATTAAAAATATGTTTGGACATGAATTTTGGGAAAGTTTTGACATGTTAAAAATTCCTTTTCTTTTATTTTTTTCAGCTAAAATATCTCAAATGATCATGATTTGGACCAAAAAGATGTCTTAAGTTATATTTGGGATTTAAAATTTTGGTTTTCGAAATTATCCAAAACCTAGATTAATTCTATAAATAAACACATATTTGGAAGGAAAAAAAAACTTCCAAAACTTATGGCCAAACGCTTACTAACCCATTTGTCTCGTAATTTTAAACCGAATATTATGATGTATGGAAGCATCTATGAAAGAAAGGAAGGTAGTGACAATTTTTAGACGTTTGTAACACGTAAAATTGCAAAACGGTTTCTCTGAAACTAAATTACATGCACAATTACCTTCTGAAACCAAACCTAAAACCAATTCATAAAAATTCAAGCTCAAATTGAGCCGCACTCTATCCACAACCCGAAAACAACAGTAGAGACTCAAGACAATCCAACTCTCCAAAATAGCCAGATTTACAACTGATCGTTCAAAAATAACTTAGTTTTAACAGTAATTGAATTTTAGCCACTTTTCATGTAAAGATAAATCTGAGTGAAAACACTGTTTAAAATCCAGAAAATACGCCAGTATATTATACTGGAGTTCCAGCATAAATATGCTTGAGTTCCAGGATAAGTATGCTGGAACTCCAGCATAATATGATGGAGTTTCAGCATAAGTACACTAGAACTCCAGCATAATATACTGGAGTTCCAGCAAGTATAATTGTCCAGTATATTATACTGGAGTCAACAACGTATACCGGTCCAACATAATATGCTGGAGTTCATACACAGGTGCATCGAACTCCAGTATACTATGCTGGACCGGTCTCTGTTGCAGCAAAATAGTGGATATTTTTCATTGACTTCATAAACGCTGGCTATTTTTGGATGACCAGTCCGAAAACTGGCTATACCGTGCTATTTTTACGAAATAATCTAATCGGACCCATACACTTTTTGGGAAAATATCAGCTATATTCATTTATAAGTAGCTTATTATAAAAATTAGCCAATTTACGAAATATTATTAATATTAGTCAATTAGCTAATTGTAGCTAAAAAAAAGTCAATTTTTTGCTTTCTTTTGGGTGGGTGTTATTAGAATAGATTGGGTACATCTAAAGAAGTTTGAATCTCAATTTTGGGATGATTTGGTGGAGTTTTGAGGTGGTTTGAATTGAAAATTCAAAGTAGAAGATGAACATGACAAAATGATATGTGTATCACTTGTGTATCATATATGTATCATATTGTGTCAAATGTGTATCACATGTATTTCCATGTATCCTTGCGTGCATGCGTGATACATGTTTGATACATGTGTCGCAGAAGAATTTTTTGGACTCGATTTTAACTACGAATTGATACCAATTTAATCCAAATTACCTCCAATCTTCCTCAAATTTTGTATATTGACTCTTCGATATGTTTTCAATGAATCTCAACCATACCCATTGAAAAAAGTCCTTTTTTGCTTTAATTTTTTGAATCTTATATATATATTGTATTTCATCACCTTATTTGCTACCTCATCCATGAAATTTCTTTTCCGTCTTGCATCTAATATTGCTAATCACGTTTAAAAATATAGAAAGAGATCTTTGTGTGTGATTCTTGAAGAGAAAAAACCTTATTTATTTGAGTTTTCAATTTTTATATGTACTTGACTAGTTTTGGTAAGTCTATAATTAATGACTAGGGGTTGGTAAGTTGAAATTTTTTTGGGACATTTCTGTAAGACTCCCTTCATTTTGGGCTGCTATTCAATGTGAAAGATTATAGGTTCTGGCCAGGAAAGGGTTCTAGCCCAATTTCCCTTCCACATTGAACCCAATTTAGTGTAAAGGAATTTTTACATTTCTATACACTATATGAAACTATATTACCTTCTCTACTAAAGTTTTACTATAATTACAGNAAAAAATATTATTTGTTTGAATTGGATGTTGTTGCAAAGAATTGAGAATTCTCTCTACGTCTCTATCTATCTCCCAATCCCTAATTTCAGTAATGTAAAGCAAAGGAAAAGAGAGCAACAATTCCACCATTGACAGCCATTAAAAAGCTTTGAAACTATGAATTCGAATTTAGGTTCTCAAAAATCATTATTTGTTTGTATTGGGTGTTGTTGCTGACAATTTGGAATATGGTTTGGAGTTTATATCTCAATTTTGAGGGTTTTTGGTGAAGATTAGACTTGATTTTGGCTGAGTTTTAGATTGAAACTCGAAAAAGAAGAAGAAGAAGACATGATATAGATTATATTTACGAAATTGTAGTAAAATTGTATTATGTTGTTTATATATTTTTCTTTTATTTATTTAAGTATTGTATGAAAGTTGAACAATATTGTATAAAAATTATATTTAAGTTGTATGATATTGTAGTCATATATAACTGAGTAGAAATAATGTATGAAAATTGTAGATAAGTTGTATAATATATAATTAGTTGTATGAAATTTGTTTTTACTATGTATAAATCAGATACAAAATATACAAAAGACATATTGTATAAAGTTTGTATTTAAGTTGTATGTTATTGTAGTTGTATTTAACTGGGTAGAAATAATGTGTGAAAATTATAGATAAGTTGTATAATATATAATTAGTTGTATGAAATTTATTTTTACTATGTATAAATCAGATGCAAAATATACAAAAAATATATTTTATAAAATTGTATAAAAATTGTATTTGTGTAATAAGGAATAGTGTCAAGGACAGAGAAGTGGTTGAGTTTGAAGCCATTTTCATCTATTTTATTATAAAGTTGAAACTTCTTTTGTAAACTTTTAAAAGGATGTATTGGTACTGATTTTTGACTTGTTTATTTATAGAGAAAATATGAAAATGTGAACAGACTAATTTTAAGTGTGAAATTGAGGCGCTGCAATGAAGAATATGTTAATAAAATTAGGCCTTTTCGGTAATATTTCTACACATTTTAACTTCCTCTGAAATTTTATGATCATGCGAATCACATTTATCAGAACTGAGAATTATTTTAATCAATAGGGTTTTGATCAAACTGCTTAACAAACTTGTCGATTTGACCGAGAAAGCTAAATTAGAATTTTGGATATGGTTAATCTGGATACAAAGGAAGTAAAAAGTTTCGACATAATGCGATATTGAACTTTTGGCAAAGTCAAAAAGGTAATAAGGAAGATTGAAGAAGAGAGCAAAGAGTAAAAATTAGAAAATTGAAATAAAAGTAACACCAAAGAGAAAGCTAAATTAGGAGTTTTGACATAGTTAATCTGTTTGACATAATGTGATATTGAACTTTTGAAAATGTCAAAAAGGAAATAAGGAAGATGAAGGGAAGAGCAAAAGGCAAAAAGTAAAAAATTGAAACAAAAAGTTTACACCCAATAAAATTGGGTAAGATCCACCGAATTGTGACATATGAGTGGAAACATAAGGAAAGAGAAGAGGAGAAAAAAAGGAGAAAAATGTGTAACTAAATTCCTTAATTGAATGCACTAATAATGGAATGAGAGCCTTTTTAAAGTAGAATGTATATATTTTATAAACAAAACTTGTGTAGGTAGAGTAATTTACTAAACATGAACATTTAGGGTAATAAAGTTTCCAATAGTGTATGGAAATGAAAAAATCACAAAAATTGCACGGGCGCCCTATTTGGTCGCCTCCATTTAACCTATACCCATTTTTTTAAAAAAGTTTTAACCTGTACCCAGTTTTTAAACAACTTCAGCCCCTTTCTCCTCCTCTTCTTCTTCTTCTTCTTCTTCTTCTTCTTCTTCTTCTTCTTCTTCTTCTTCCTCTTCTTCTTCTTCTTCCTCTTCTTCTTCTTCTTCCTCTTCTTCTTCTTCTTCCTCTTCTTCTTCTTCTTCCTCTTCTTCTTCTTCTTCCTCTTCTTCTTCTTCTTCCTCTTCTTCTTCTTCTTCCTCTTCTTCTTCTTCTATTAACAACTGAAAGACACTATGATTAATTCTCTAATACTACCACCATTCCATATGTTTGACCAATTAGGCTCAAACTTCCCAGCTTTACTTCAAATTTATCGCCGAGAAGGATACTGCTAGCTTGAACATCTCTTCAATCAGAAAATACAGAATATAATTAGCTTGGTATAGAACTTTACAATAACTTGAACTTAATAATGGTTCTGTTATAGACAAAAATCGTGTATATCATCATTTGAGGAGAAAATCAATAATGCGAAAAAGTGAAAGAAACAAATACCTATGAACAAGAGGAGGATTACACTCATGTTGTAAACAAGCTAAACCTTCTGCAGTTCCTATTGCAATTTTTAATCTCGTTATCCAATCCAAAGACTGTCGATAAGACAAATCAGAACTTCAGCTTATATAGTGCTGAAGTTTTTACAAATGAACCGAGTAACTTCAGCATCTTTTGTTGAAATTTTTGAAAAAGCTTATCCTGGACAAAAAATTTACAAATGAACTAAATAACTTCAGCATCTTCTGCTGAAGTTTTTGAAAAAGCTTTATGACAAAACTAATGAATCCATGACAAAAAAAACTTCAGCTATTTTAGTGCTGAAGTTTTTACAAATGAACTAAATAACTTCAGCATCTTCTGCTGAAGTTTTTGAAAAAGCTTTATGACAAAACTAATGAATCCATGACAAAAAAAACTTCAGCTATTTTAGTGCTGAAGTTTTTACAAATGAACTAAATAACTTCAGCATCTTATCCGGGACAAAAAAACTTCAGCATCTTATCCGGGACAAAAAAAAACTTCAGCACTGCCTTTGCTACTTCAGGCCCGTCTACTAGAATGCTGAAGTTTTGCGTGATTGTCTTTGCTACTTCAGCCCTGTATGCTGAAGTTATGCGAAAAAGTGGGTACGCTTGTAATTTTTTTTGCAAAGCGGGCACAAGTTAAAACGTGACCCAAAAAGCAGGTATAGATGCAAATGCTCCAAAAAAAATCCCATTAGTAAAATGCTAAATTGGGCCAGGGAAAACTCGACCTTCCACATTGAAATATGTTACTCCGAAAAATGGTTCTTGTATTAATCAATCAAATTAGTATAATAAGTAAATAATCAGAACTAAAAAGGCAAAGAGGGAAAAGAAAGATATGTAGGAGTTACAACACCTCCATTAAGCTAGATCGCATTGACAACTTGAGTGTTACATTGGGCCTATTTATCTTCAATGATTCAGGCAGCAATAGCTTCAAAATTTTAAACAACTTTTTAATTTTTTGAAAGAGAAATATTTTTTCAACCAAACTACTGAAATTTTTTTCCTTTTGGTGTTTCATTAAAAAACATTTTTTTTGTTGCAAAAATATGGAACATAAAAAATTGAGATACTTTTATTTATTTATTTATTTTTGCAAAAGCTCTTCTTTGAAATTTGAAGAAAATGCAAACTGAAAACAGTGGTACGCAAGTGGAACTAAATATGGTACATATTACACCAAATTCACAAGTTCTGAAAAATCACACAAATTCCAGTTTCCACACCACTAATGAAAAGGACAAATGGATTAAGGTGGGAAGGTCCAACTCGGCCTGTGTATAACTGCACATCCTGCTGCCAATCTAACATATGCCTAAGCAACAATAAAAATTGAAATAAAATGAATCTATCAGCAACAAGTGGTTTAAAGCAAAAGAGTACAAGGTCTTCTTGCCTTTAGCTCTATTAAGTTAGGCAATGTGAATCATGAAGGAACTTTGATCATCTTTCAGACAGCAGGATCTTCAAGTGATGCAGTAGAAAGATTGGTTATGCGAGGATATACTGCTTTTTCATCAAGCTGGTTTTGTGCCCATATCAACATCTTCAATAGGCTTGGAAGCTTTGGATCTGTTGTTTTAATCAACATGAATCACAAAAAAAGCATTTAATGCCATGAGCATCTTTAAAATGTTAAACAAACAACAACAACAAACCCAGCTTAATCCCGTACGTGGAGTCTGGGGAGGGTAGTGTGTACGCAGCCTTACCCCTACCCTATAAAGGCAGAGGGGCTGTTTCTGAATTAAGCTATAACAATAATTAGCGCTCCCCTTACAGAACTGTGTGGAGACCTATATCAACAATGATTTTTATTGGAAATGGGACTAACCTTTTTCATGACTTTGGCTGGTGAGAATTGCTGCATTTACCTCACTTGCGGTCTTTAGACGCTGTGATACATCAAGAAGCGCTCCAACTGGGCAGTTAGAAACATCTTCAAAAGCCAGTAATGCAACAGTCTTCTCCAGTTCTTCTAAGAAGGCTTGCTGTAGAGTTATTGAAATTTAGTTAATAGAAAAACCATGGAAACACTCCCCAGTCAATAGGTTTTAATGTCCAGAAAATATGAAGTTCAGCCAGATAAGATTCGAGATGCAGATGGTATATGAAATTAAACTGTGAGTTAGATTGAAGACTTGCTTTTCTCCTTCAATAATATAGATCGAGTGAAGATGTATGTAGCCTTGGAAAAAAGAAACTTACAGAAATTACAAAAATAGTTTCTAAAGACGAATAGTTACATTTTCTTCTCCCCTTGGAGCCAGTTCCTCTTGAGCAAACTCCAGAGCTTCTTCGACCTTTCCATTCCTTATCAACTCTATCAGCCTTTGCTGTTGGAGATGGAAAAAGAGTTGTGGATTTGTATCTAATATCTGCATTCAAGAAGGGAAACGTAAGATACAATCAACTCAAACTATCTAAAAGTCAGCACTCATTGCGATGTAGCTTGTATGTATCAAGATTTTCTAGAGTGTTAAGCTCAGAAGATGACAAGAGAAAAGATACTAGAGACAAAGGCAAGGCATACATGTCCACAGAAACACCCCTGTTGCATAGAACGATAAACCAAAGAACCCAACATAATTTGGATTCTTCTGGAACATCACGTCTATGATCTGATATCAGCTATGGGGAACAATTGATATTGGCTACATCGAAGCAACATTAGATTATCTCTTAAATTTTGAGGGGAAAAAAGAAAAAAATATGAGGGCCTGGAACCAATTGCCATGCATAATAGCACAGGTTAGAAGATTCATCCAAGTAAGAAACTAGATCACGGTCCTTTTTGGTCTCATCTAAGACAACAAATTATAAACTCGTTTCCATGTCACCAACAAACTTTTTATATATATAAATAGGGAGGGTTCAAATGATCAAAGTCAGATTAGAAAATAATTTTTGTGCAGTTTGCATCAGGATGTTCCATCCTCAATTTTGTATTCCTTCAGCTCTATCCAGAAAATATTTCTTTAATCCGGAAGAGGCACAGGCTAGAGATGAAGTAGAAAAAGCAAAAAAAGAAAAAAGTCGAGGATAGCACAATGATAGAGCAAACTTCAAACAAGCATATGTTTGCTGGAGTCAAACTAACAAGATCCAAGAGCGAGCATCAAATGTCTTAATTGCTTGAGCTTCTACCTGAGCATACTAAAGAAAGATGCAGTGCCTATGTGTTTTCTTATATTCTTAAGGGTTTAACTGCAAATTTATGAAAGTTGCATTAAAAACACAAATCTTCCAGATGAAGAATTTTCTGACACAATATCGACCTCAAGGGGAAGAACTCTCCATTCCGTGCTATCTGCTTATATTAAAGAGCTTATCTGTGGTCATTTCAAAGTTCAAACAAAGACAATTTACTGTCCCCTAAGTTATATGTTCATACAAAAGCTTGCTCGAGCAGAGTCATGATCAAAAGACTCTTAAGATCCATAACCAAGCATAAAATTCTGTGACTAATAATTGACCTTGGAGTTTATGAAGAACTTCAGACAGAATTCAAGCTCATAAGAAGGTGATAGGACAGCTTTGTTTGGAAGTCTATAACAAGGGCCAAGCTACCACAGATTAGAAGACAGGTTAAGAAAAATGATTAATAGAGTCCACTTCCTGTTTGCACTAACTGATGGCATGTACCAGCAACAAAGGTTACTAGGAGATGACCATAATGGTTGATGCATGGTGTCAGTCTAGGTGGATTCGTCAAGGTGCACGCAAGAAACAGACAAAACCCGTGTCTAGGGAAAAGGAGAGGGGAAAAAAGGCAAAGAGGAACTACGATAAGTGCTTGATCACATCCACTCCATGATTTAACTAATTGAATGTCAGGTAACACAATTAGAACAAGACTTATACCTAGTGCACCTTCATTTTCCCTCTTCTACTCATTGATGAACAAACAGTTGAGAGTAAATTGAAAACACAAATGAACATTTGTCTACAGTGGGGCATCGAGACTCATAAATTGGATGTGCCTAATTGTTCCAGTAATCCTTTTCTTTTGCTGAGTCACAGGACAAAAGTGCCCTCCGCAGCTGATGTACTTTAATAATTCCTTATCATCTTCCGTTCTATTGACTTCCCTGTTTGCTGCCATTCTCTTGGAATTTCACTCTTAACGCATACAGCTAACATATCACCCATCTATCTATCAGAGACACACAAAGCAAAATAAAAGTTTTACTATGTTTTTCATAAAGAGTGGATCAGCATATAAGAATCAAAAGGAAACACATGCAAAGAGGAAGAAACTCTAAAATTAGTCGACTAAATTGAAAATGTGTTTATAATGTGAGATGCCATGCTAGTCACATGTTCATTATAATCAACAGAACAATAAAAGTAAAGAAATGCATTAGAAGCAGAAAGTGTAAAGGAGCAGGCGTACCTCAGGATTCAAATCATTAACCTTCTCAATTGCATCCTCTACATTACCGGACTGCACAGCCTTTTTAACAGCCATCCGGTCAGTGATGGTAGCAAGATCTATATCAGCTATTAATTCATAAGGAGAAACAAATCTTAAACGAACGCAAAAAATAACTTAAATGCTGGAATAAAACATAACATGAACATCCAAAAGATGACAAAAGGATACGATCTGTCCCAGATTCCATTTTGAACTTCTCCGCAGCTTCTACATAACCTTCTGTAACTAGAAAATTCATTACCAATCTATTCATATCTTCTTTTCTAATTTTTACATCATTCAGCCTTTTCTCCCAATCTTCTCTAGTGATTACTTTTTTTGATGTGGCCTGCAGAATGAAGACAAAAAGATAAAATAAATAGATTTCCTCACCTCTAAACAGAATCAAGTTCAACATCAGCAAAATTTGATCTCAATAATGATGAGGATAATTTATTAACAAGTTAAACCATATGCAGCTTCCTACCATACCATAAGCAAATACAACTAACTAATAATAATGACAACAATAATACGCGGTTAAAACAGCAAATAACTAAAACACAATATTCAACATAGAAGAACCTTATTGCTACTCTACTTTAATAGATTCACACATTCGAATTGGGGAAAAGTAAAATAATTTCTGAAAGGGAAATTCGAAATTGGGGAAAAACATAATAGATGAAAGAATTACCATGGCTTCTTCAAAATCAGCTAATTGGCGAATGACAATCCAGAACAATGACATCACTTTTCAACACTTCACTTTCATACCTATATAAACACTCCACCTTGATATGAATTGGGGAAGAACTGAATTCGATGGTCACTCAAATTACCAGAAATGCCCTCTATTAGAATAAAAAACAGTGAAGAAATTACTGGGGGCAGTAATGTTTATCTTATATTGTTATTATTACTACTCCCTCCGTCTCCAATAAAAATAATTGTGTCAAATTATTTGTCATTTTAGAAGTTCAGAACAAAATTAATTATTTCATCCAAATACTAATGAAGAAAGATTAAAATAATCGTAAAGTAATCAAAATCTCATCCTAATTTAATTTTTTTAAGGGACATGTATAAAAGAATCATAACAGATTATTTGAGACGGAGGGAATAAATAATAAATTTTGTACACTTTATCAATATGAATATTTATAAGTTGTCAAAATGTTATAGAGATAAATTGTGTAAGATATTATGGAACATTTCGAAAAAGAAAAGGAATTCAGAGTTTAAATCGCATTAGAAGTTGTACCTAAAATGGTTGTGGAAAAAGACCAGACTTTTAATCTCTTAAAGACAAATTTTCACTAATGAATTTGGAACTCATGGAAATACAAATGAAATAAACTCCGTGTAACGCTTTTTTTCTGATATATAATCTTTTTGTATTTAGAAATTTCTTACTTTTACTTTAGTTTGCTCATGTATTATTCCACATCAATTAAAGATCCCTCAAATTTACTGACTTAGATGAACGTTTGTTTACTTAGGATTTTTGTTGTCTGCAATTGAGTTATATCATGAGAATGTTTGGTATAGTTTGCCTTTTTTTTTTTTTTTTTTCCCTCTTCCTGTTTACCTACGAGTAACAATTAAATTTTATTTGTAGTTTTAAAGATATGTAATTTAGTTAGTCAATACTAATTAATAATGAAGAACTATAACGTATAAATAAAAGAAATGAGTAAATCAAACCATTGTTGCTAGGCACTATCGACCTCGAGCCAAAGTGACCTCGAGATGGATCAAGAACAATAAAGCAAGAATAATACTTCCTCCGGTTCACAATAAATGACCAGTTTACTTTTTCATTTTGTTTCAAAATAAGTGTCCAGTTAGATAATCAAGAAAAAATTCAATTTATTTTTACTCTTTTACCCTTATGTGCATATCCCTAAAAAGTATTCTCACTCCTCACTATAACTATGTGACCAATATTTAATAAGGGTAGTTTAGTCATACTAGTTTTTGTATAGGATTTGGCATTTTCTTAATGGGCGTGCTAAAAGGAAACTAGTCACTTATTGTGAACCGGAGGGTGTAAAGCTAAAGGACAATTCTGATGAACAATGAGCGAGAAAGTAAAAGAGTATATTCTTTTTCAATGATTAGATGATGTTTACAAATGACTTGGGTCCCCTTTATATAATAGGGGAACCCTAAATAAGGTACATTTTTATTTATAGTAAAGAATTTTATTTGGACAGTTGTCTAACCGCCTAGTACGGATTCGTACAAATCTATTCTGGGATTTACGCCATGATCTTGGGGACGTGGCTGGAATCTTGCTCATTCTGTTACAAATCCATAACGACATTATCTCGAGGCCAGTTACGTTAGACTCCGACATTCCTCGAACACTTGATTCTTCGAGCCTCGTACTCTGTCGTTGAGCTCGATCTTGGTCCCTCGAGCTCGAACTCGATCCATCCCGAACTCGGGCTTAAGGCGACCCCTCGAGCCTGGGAAATCGTGCATACTTGATTTCGACCGTATATAGATAGTCCCCGCGTTTCTTAGAGTAAAATGATAAGAAACGATTTGATCTTCGATCGACACCTCGATCACGATGTCAATCTTGTGATGTCAGCGGCTGATGGTCGGTTATTTGGCTTCCCCAAAACGCTTAAGCGGCCTCTATAAATAGGCCAACTTCATAATTTTTGCAAACTTTACTTCTCAAATCATTCTTAAAATCTCTTTAGCTCATTCAACTTCGTTGAGTTCACCCTCTTCTGAATTTGCTCTTACTACAGCATCTACTCCTTCTCCTCTCTTGAATTTATAAACCGCAATGGCTAAAACATCTAAAACTGTTCCTCAGAAAGAAAAAGCTTCTTCATCATCGCGGCTGGCCAGAGGTAGAACGGTGCTACCACCTCATATCGAGGAGTATATTCCCGGGCCGTGCGAACTAACTTTAGATTTTTAAATCGATAAACCTACTTCGACACCAGGCCGATGTGAGCCCATGTCTCGATACATCTGCTTGATAACTGAAAGTGAGCTTGAGCAGGTGAAAAAGGACTGCAACTGGAAGAACAAAGATGTTGTGATCCCTTCCTCTGAAGAGGACATCACTACCTATAAGGCAGGGTACTTAAGCGTGTATACCTACCCATTCACGTTAGGTCATGTAGATCCAGTTCTGGGTTCTGTAAACCCAGTGATTCCTGATTTTTGCTAACAATACCAGGTGACGCTTGGCCAGATCTACCCTTCATTCTGGCGCATCATCAATCTGATCAGATATTTCTCGGGCCTTGTAATGATCTGGTTGGTCGTTTCATGAGTTACAACCCCGTTTCCCCCATTTTTGCTCCCTTGTGTGCTGTTCAATTGTATTTGATCATGCCGTGTTGGTTGTGTTGTGTTTAGAGTGGTTTTAGCGTGGAATGAGACACTTAGTCTCTTAATTAGAAGCTTAAGTTGGAAAAGTCAACCGGATGTTGACTTATGAGTAGAAAGTGTCAGGTGAGGTGATTTTTGGACTTAAGAGCGGGTTCGAAAGGTAATTTGGAGGTTCGTGGTAGATTTAGGCTTGAATTGGAATGAAAATTTGGCATTTTTTTGTCGGCAGTGGAAATCTTGATATAGGGGTCATAATGGAATTCCAGAAATTGGAGTAGGTCCATTGTGTCATTTGTGACGTGTGTGCAAAATTTCAGGTCATTCAGACAAGGTTTGAAAGGTTTTTGCATCATTTGCAAAATTCGGAAGTTTTGGAATCCTTAGGCTTGAATCTGATGGTTATTTGGTGTTTCGTTGTTTTGAGTGTTCCGAAAGATTGGACTTGATTTTGAGCAGCTGAAGCTGCTACTTCTGTCATATCCGCACCTACGAGGCCGTAGGTGCGTGAGCAAGGACACAAATGCGTAAGATTGGAAGGTGAGGCAAGGCCACAGGTGCACACTAAGGACCGCACCTGCGGGACCGCATATGCGGGTGAAGGACCGCAGAAGCGAAATTTCGTGGTTTAAGTGGACATCGCACTTGCGATGGATTTTCCGCAGGTGTGGCGTCGCAAAAGCGACTTGGAGGCCGCAAGTGCGGAAATTGCTGGCCAGAAACTATTTAAGCATCACTTCGCGAATTTCAGTCTTTTATCTACCAATTTTGGTCGAGTTGGAGCTTGGGGATTTCGATTTCAGGGGAGAATTTAAGTGTTTTTGAGTGAGGTAATCTACTTGGACCTTGTTCTTGTGTTTGTGGCAATTATTCCATTGTTTAATCATATTTTTAGTGGAAAAATTAAGGAAGAAATTGGGAGATTAGGGCTTGAAATTAGAGAGTTTAAATTGGTGATTTGAGGGGTCATTTGAGGTCCGATTTTGATGATTTTGGTATGTATAAACTCGTGAGAGTATAAGAATTCTAGTGATGTGATTTTTACCAGATTCCGAGATGTGGGCTCGGGGGTCGGGTTTGGCCAATTTTGAGAATTTTGATTAAATTTGATAATTTTCGCATGGGCTTTGTTCCTTTGGCATGTATTGATGTTATGATTCTGATTTTGGATAGATTCGGGGCGATTTGAGGCCGAGGTGAGAGGCAAGGGCATTGTGGAGTAGATTCTCATCCGGTTCGAGGTAAGTAACGATTTAAAATCTAGACCTGAGGGTATGAAACCCCGAAATTTCGTACTATTTTGATAAATGAGGTGACGGGCGTGTGTGCATGCACCCATAGGGATTGTGACTTGGTCCGTCTCATGCAACTATAGAGTTGCATATTTTGACAAACTCTATATGATATCTATGTGTTTTAGAAATGATTCATTTAACTTGGGCTGGAAGCCATGTTTGGGGCCTCGTGCCGTACTATTGGACTCTCAGGGGCATTTTACTGTTATCCTCGCATTATTTTTGATAGAAAGCATTATCCTCAGTAATAGTTTATACCTGTTTATTGTTAAATATTATTCCTCACTCTATTTCTAATATTTATGAAAGTGTTTTGGGTTGAGTTTCCTGAGTTTGCACTGAGATGCCCGAGTGGCTTGTGAGGCTGATGAGTGAGTGAGGCCAAGGGCCAGATTGCGAGGATAGTTATGGATCAGGCTGCACGCCGCAGCGTAATATATATATGGATTGGGCATCACGCCGCAGCAATATATTGGATGTGTTGTACGCTGCAGCAATATATTGGACCGGGCTGCCCACCTCAACGATATAGCGCTTGGACTGTAGGAGCCCCTCCGGAGTCTGCACACCCCTAGTGAGCGCAGTCGACTATATACTTATGGATCGGGCTGCACGACGCAACGGTTATTATGAGATATCTATTGAGCGTGAGTGCTGAGTGTGAGTATTGATTGATGATAGTTGAGTCACGAGTGACTGAGAGGCTTGCCCAAGGGGCTATATATATGAGTTACACGTTATCCGAGGGGTTGGTTTTTATGGAAAATATTGTTTTTACTCTTCTTGTTACTGAGCCTCTATTGAGAAATGTTGAACAAATATTTTTAACGACTTTTCATTAAAATTGGAGTCTTTACTGAATGTTCAGAATTTATCTACTGATTTGATCTTCTTATTTCCTCTGAAATTTTTATGATATGATATGCTCGTGATTTTAAATGCTCGTCACTACACTCAACTTTTATTTATAATTATTACTTACTGAGTTGGCGTACTCACATAACTCCTTGCACCTTGTGTGCACATCTAGGTATCAGGGCATCCAAGTGAGAGCTGATCTTTTCTTTCAGAGTATTTTCCGGAGATAGCAAGGTAACTGCACGATGTACGCATCCCTGTC